TGAAAAAGGTGAATACATGTGAATACATGAAGTCAACTTTTCTTAGTGTAAGCCGCCATGTCTAGACCAACTGATGTGTTAGTGAATAAGTGAATATGTGAAGGTTCCACACTACGGTCTTATGTCTTGACTCTGACTAGAGGGACTCTAGTTTAGACTATTGGACCATAGACATAATAAATAGAGTTGAGAGTAGAGACATGAGAGCATGGACTGCGCCATCTATGTAAAATAGTCGACAGGGTGCGTTCTCACTGAAACCTACTGGTTAGTGGTTATAATGGCTGCGTTCGTTTGGCGCTTGCAGCGCTCACAATATTATTTCATCCTTGTTGTTTATCAAATGTTAAACAAGGACAAATAATGCTTATAAGCGCTGTAAGTGCCAAACCGAACCGAACGCAGCCAAATGTATCCTATATTCCTATGTTCATGGCTCAGCTAGACAAAGTTTCTGAACGTAGCTAAGGTTTATGCCTTATGGATATGACAGATTTTCTGTTTTAACCTGAAAAATCGTTAACTATTTAACTTTACATTAAAAATCCCTCAACTAAAGATTAATTAATCGATTAATTAACTATTATAAATATCTCGTAGAGCTACACTTTTTTTGCTAAATTCGTTCGTGTCATGTAAAACCCGTAGAGCCTAATTTTGTCAAAATTGAAGGTGATGGAGGTGTTCTGAATAATTTCAAATATCTGTGTGTATGTGTGTCACACACATTATGTATATATATTTAAGATTATGCATTAAAATATTTATGTTATGAAAAAGAAAAATTATGAATAATACAAGAAAAAATACAGAAGATATGGATGATGTGTCCTTGTCAAAACAACCTACAAATACTTTCCAGAGTAGGTTATAAAAGTATGATTTTATTATAAGCAAAATACTAACAATATGCTAGTAATTTGTTAACAGATTAGAATTTTGAAGTAGATGGACATCAATTGCATCTGCATTAAGTTTGTGTTCCGCCTGCTGAATTTGCTGATATAATCTGATAACAAATTACCAGTAGGAAGACACAAAGAAACTAAGCAAAGCTTATAAATTTTATAATGAAATATATTATATAATGTTACAAAGTGGTCAGTTTTGCTTAGTTTCTATAACTAGTCTGTGATCACATCCTAGCTGTTAATAGATTCTGTTATATTTTTGCTGGCACTTTGTAAACAAAATTTATAGCAGAATCTTACAAAATCTATTTTTGACAGTTTTAATCATTTGAACAGAGTTGGGTAAGTTAATTTTTTTTTTAACTAAGTTAAGTTAAAGTTAATAGCCTAAAAATTTAACTTAGTTAAATTCCAAGTTAATCCATAATGAAATTAATTGAATTAAAAGTTAAGTTAATAA